GGGGTGGGCAGGACAGTCGTCAGCTGCGGCTGGAGTGCACCCTTTTGGATACTCCCGACCTCAATGTGCCTGAGCAGGCCTAAGCAGGCAGACATGGAGCTTCGTGCCGCCTGCCTCCTGCTGCTCCATCACCTGCTGCCACCTTGCCTGCCCTGCCCTGGCCTGGCCTGCGCAGGCGACAACAAGTCGACGGCAGAGTCTGTGGCTCGCCAGATAGGCCTGCTGCAGGGCCAGGGCCAGCTGGCGGTCGGCGGCGGCGACCTGGAGAGCAGCGGCGGCGGCGCGGGCATGGCCTCGCTGTCGGGTGCGGCTGCTGCCCCGCAGCATACGCCATTCCCGCCCTTCCTGCGCCGCCGCCCGCCTTTCAGCCGCCGCCCTGCTGCCGCGCAGCCACAGCAGCCCAGCACGCAGCGCGGTCTCGCCGACTCCAAGCTCTGCGCTTCACCTGCTTCCTCCGTCCCCTGCCCTTCTTTCCACCTGCCTGCCCGCCTGCTTTCCTCCCAGGCCGGGAATTTGATGACCTGGCGCCACCTCACCAGGCCGAGGCTGCGGGCGGGCTGGCGGTGTTCGCCCGCGTGGAGCCTTCCCACAAGACGCGGCTGGTGGAGCTGCTCAAGGCGCAGGTGGGCTGGGTGGGGGAAAGGAGGCGGTGCGTGGCAGCGGCGGCGCGTGGTGGGAGGCAGGAAGCGGGCTGGAGCTGCTCAAGGGGCAGGTGGGTGGGCGCCTGTGGGTGTGGTGGGTCTGGCAGCGCGGGCGGCAGGTGGGCCATCGGGGCATCAGCTGCATCAGCAGCCGGCCGCACCCTTCCCATCTGCCTCCCCAGAGCGCCGCCGGCTGCCGCCGGGACTGGTGCTGGCCAGCAGGCCAGCAACGCACACGCCACACCACACACCTGATGTGCACCTCTCGTGCTGGCACACCCACCCACACCCAGCCCGCACCGCGACGCTGCCGCCGGCTCTGCGCGCAGGGCGCGGTGGTGGCGATGACGGGAGACGGCGTGAACGACGCCCCCGCGCTGCGCCGGGCAGACATCGGGATTGCGATGGGCTCCGGCACCGCGGTGGCCAAGCACGCTTCGGACATGGTGAGGTGGCGGGGCGGGTGTGTGGGTGTGAGTGGCGGGTGGGTAATGGTGCAGCGTGTGTGTGTGTCTGTGAGTGGATGGGCGGGCAATGGTGGTGGCTGGTGATGTGTAGTGATGTGGCACCAGAGAGGGGGTTTCTGCAGCTCGCACCTGCCTCTGGGCGGCCCATCCACACACCGCCGCACCCGTACCGCCGCCACCCGCACCCGTACCGCCCCGCAGGTCCTGGCCGACGACAACTTTGCCACCATTGTGGCGGCGGTGGCGGCGGGTCGCTCCATCTACGCCAACACCAAGCAGTTCATCCGCTACATGGTGTCCTCAAACATAGGTGGGTGGGAGCTGCCGGGGTGTGGGAGGGCAGTGTGTGGAGTGTGTGGGTGGTGGCTGCTGGGGTGGGATGGCGGCGTCTGGCTGGGGGGGTGGATGGTGGCCGCCGGGGTGGGATGGCGGCGGAATGGCACTGGCAGTTGTTTTTACGGTGTCGGGAGCAGGTTACGTCACTGCCGGCACATCTTGCGACCCTGCGCCCCGGCCACACCGGAACCCTCCCCACCCACGCACACACACACACACCGCAGGCGAGGTGGTGGCCATCTTCAGCGCCGCGCTGCTGGGCATACCCGAGTGCCTGAACCCGGTGCAGGTGCGGGGTGCAGTGGTGGTGGTGTGGGTTGGAATTGCGGCTGGGGGCCCTGCAGCGCACGAGTACGCCGCACCCCGCGCACCGGTGCTGCCTTCCCAGGCGCCCTTTTGCCGCTGCTGGAACATAGCAACACCTGGCCTGCCCCCCCTTCCTCTTCCCTTGCGCGTTGTAAAGTAACGGATGGTTCCCTTCTCCTGCACCCCTGTCCCTCACCTGCAGCTGCTGTGGGTCAATCTGGTGACGGACGGCCTCCCCGCCACCGCCATCGGTTTCAACAAGCCAGACGGAGACATCATGCGCCGCCGGCCGCGCCGCACCTCGGAGGGCATCGTCGACCGCTGGCTGTTCATACGGTGGGCAGCCTGGGCTGGCAGGGCTGCTGCTGCCTTTGTGGGTGCTGGTGTTAGCGGGTGGGGTGGCGGCCGGTGCAGCGCCTGCGGGCCTTCGCCTGGAGGCTGCGGCTTGCCGGAAGGGCCGCAGGATGGCTTGCAGGGCGGCAGATTGCGGTGGTGTGGGGGGTGGTGTGGGGGGCCTTTAGTTTAGTTTACGCCTGGGGACTGTGCCTGCTTCCTAACCCCACCCTCAGTCCTCGCACACACCACCACACACCGGGCGCACAACGTTGGAATGTCCACCCCCCCGTGCCCTGCTTTCCATCCCCACTGTCCCCCCCACCTTCCCCGCAGCTACCTCATCATCGGCTCCTACGTGGGCGCTGTCACCGCCGCCGGCTTCGTGTGGTGGTTCATGGCGGCACCCGTGAGCCTCCCCCTCTGCTTGCTTCTGCCCTGCCTGCTCTGCAGCAGCGCCTCCGATGCGCAGCGCTCCGCTGGCCTCCGGGCGGGCAAGGGCCGCGGGGCGCGCCAGCTGCGCCTGCGCCTCCTCCCCTCCACCTAACACCCGCACCTATTCGCTCCCGTCTTCCCTGCCCCTTTCCTCTCCGCAGGGCGGCCCCGGCATCACCTGGCGCCAGCTGCGAGACTTCCAGCACTGCACAGCCAACGGGTCCGTGGACTGCGCCGTCTTCAAGGACAGGCACCCGTCCACTATCAGGTGCTGCGCCCGCTGTGCCCGCTGTGCCTGCTGTGCCTGTCGTGCATGCTGTGCTGTGCTGTGCCATGGTCGTCCCTGTACCATCAGCGGCCTGCCGGTGGTGCTGGGCTGGGACCCCACCCCCACCACCCCCACCCATACTTACTCCCACCCCCACCTCCGCGCAGCATGACCGTGCTTGTGATTGTGGAGATGTTTAATGCGCTGAACGCGCTGTCAGGTGGGTGGCAGCGTGGCCGCAGGGCGGCCCCTGGCTGGCAGCCGGCAGCCTCGTGCCGCAAGGGCCGGGCAGCCGGGCAGCGGCTGCAACCTGTAGCTTCCGACTGGGCGCAGCGCAGGGGCTGCGCCCGACGAACGAACGCTGCCCCCGCCTGCACGCCTGCCCTCTCTGGCCATGCAGAGAACTGTAGCCTGCTGGCGCTGCCGCCCTGGAGCAACCTGTGGCTGCTGGCCGCCATCAGCGTCTCGGGTGCGTGGGTGCTGCCCCGCATGCCCTCTGCCGCTGCCCGGCCATCAGATGGAACGCCCACCCACCCACTCCTCCCGCCGCACACGTCTCCTGCCTGCCTGCCTGCCTGCCCGCAGTGGCCCTGCACCTCCTCATCCTCTACGTGCCCCCTCTGGCAGCCATGTTCAGCGTGGTGGCGCTGAGGTGGGCCCAGGTGGCGGCTGCCGGCCAGCTTCCACCGCCGCCGCCGCCGTGGGGCCACCCGGCTGCTGTTGCGGGAGGTCCTTTGCAAAGCAGGCAGCCCCGTTCGTGTCTGCCACCACCCCGTAAATGCAACAGCGGCCGTGCACAAACCGTCACCGCGCCTGCCGCTGTTGTTCGCCCGCCCGCCCCCGCCTGCAGCTGGGTGGAGTGGCGCATGGTGCTGCTGCTGTCGGCGCCGGTGGTACTGGTGGATGAGGTGCTGAAGCTGATAAGCCGCAGGTGGGAAGCTGGATGTACCACGGTACTGCTAGGGGAGTCCTGCAGCTGGGAGGCTGCATGGGCGGGTGCAGGGGGTGGGCGGGCATGCCTCCTCAGTATGCCGCCTGCGGGAGAGGCGGGGAGCCTGGCTGCGGCAGGGGCGGGGGCTGCGGCGGGCGCCCGGGAGGCTGTGGTGGGGAATCGGGGCTGCGGTGAGGTGTTAGGTTGGGTTGAGGCTGTGGTGGGTGCGCCTTCCCGGCTCCTGCTGCTGGCAGGCAGCCCGCGCCACCCACCACAGACACCTACCACAGCACCGCACACAACCCCACCCCCACGCCGCCGCCTGCCGCGCCCCCCTTGGGCCCCCGCCCCCGCCCGCCTGCTCCCCTCCTCCCCCGCAGGTTCATGCTGAGCCCTGAGGCCCGTGCCGTGGCGGCTAGCCAGATGATGGGCTGGCTTCCGGTGCGGCTGCGTGCCAAGGGGCGGTCGTTGAGGTGAGGCGGGCGCCCGGGCGGCGGCAAAGCGAACAGGAAGGGCAGCGCTGGCTGCTGCGTAGTATGACGGCTATACACTGCGCTGGTAGAGGGCGCCGTGGCTCATGCAGCTGTGGCGCTGGGCAGCCTCGTGTGGAGCATGCACCGTGCATGGTCCCTCTCGCCGGCCCCGTACCTGCCCCTGCATGCCCCGCTGCGCTGCCCACCCCCTTCCACCGCGGCCCTCCTGCCGCAGCAGCGAGCTGACAAGCATCGTGACCGGCGGCGGCGGCGGCGGCAAGGGCGGCGGCTCGCTGAGCCGCAAGGGCAGCGACGGCGACACGGCGCCGCTGGTCCGCCAGCGCTGAGGCGGGCTGCTGCTCGCCCTGCCCGCCCTGCATGTTGCAGCAGCCCTTCTCCCTTCTACCTTCTCTCCCCGCTCTGTGGGCTTTTGAATCTCCTCCCCAACCTGGTCCGTCCATCCACAGCCACAGGCGGTTGAGCACTAGTTTATGGGCGTCTTGAAAGGCCAATGCTGGGTGACAGCTGGGGTGAGAAGCCACCACCGCTCCATGCTGAGCACGACGTGGCTGCAGCTGCTGCAGCTGGGCCGGATGCCGCCGCGGCGCCTCCGGCCCACTCCGCCGACTCCTTTTAGACAGCAGGCACGATTCAAGTGACCAGATCCCGCGTGATGGACAGGCCCTCTACCACCGGAGCGTTCCACCCCGACCGGAAGGCTTCAGAGGTACTTACCCCGAGCCCGCATTGAAAATGGTCGTTCATTCCACTGATCTTCGTCATACATGCGATCATGTGTCTATTCACAGTAGCCACGGGGGCCTTGGTGCTGCTCATAGCGACTTCCACCACGCAGGGTGGGTGTTTTGGCGGCTCCCCCGGCCGCTGCTGCCCTTCAAAGGCGTCTGGACGCCATTTACAGTTGGTTTGAGGCCCCAGCAGTGCCCCAGCCTGCTGAGCGTCATCCGGCCAGCTCGCCCGGAGGGACCCGTGGCCCTGGAGAGCTTGCCTGGCCCACCAGCGACCCGCCTAGCCCTTGCGCGCTGCCTGCATGCGCCTGGGGCCGCCGCAAGCAGCTGTGCCGACAGCCAGCCACCCACTCCTGAGCCGCCGCCGCTGCCCGCGCCCTGCAGCAGGCCAGGAGCTGCCGCTCTGCGCGCACTGGTACGCCGGCCCCGCCCACGCCTGCCCGCCCACCAACAAGTGCAAGCTGTGGGACGCAAACCGCAACGGCTACGTCATGCCCACCCTGCTCAACACCACCAACTGTGCCGCATGCTCCGACGGCATCGGCCTCGCGCTGCGCTGCCTGCGCTGCAAGCCCGGCTTTGTGCACACCACCCATGACCACTTCCGACAGGTGGGGCTTGCTTCTGCTTTTTGTGTCTACAGTCTGCATATCCGCAGCGGAACTTGCGACACGGGGGTGCGCCAGGCGGCGGCTGCGGGTGGTGCCGCACAGGCCGGCAACCTGCTGCGCGGGCAGGGGCGCCGCCGAGCGGCAGCGCACGGCGAGCGGCGGGGCCTCGCTGCGGTGGAGGCAGCCGGCTGGGGTGGCAGCCAGCCGCTGCCTGCCTGCCGGGAGCACGCCCTCACGCCCCCAGTGGCCCCTGCCCCAGCCCACACCCTGCGCGACGTGCCGCCTCTAACCCCGCCTCCGCCCCTGGCGACGCAGGAATGCCTGCCCGTGGAGCGCCTGGGCTGCCTGGCCACGCGCCCCTACCCAACGATGCCGCACCCTAAGGCAGTCATGACTGGTCCCTGCATCGCCTGCCCACCGACCCACGCCATGGTGTGGGCAACCAGCAGGGCGCAGGACTTTTACCAGAGCGGCAACGTGGCGGGGGCCGCCCGGAAAGGCGGCGCCGCCGTGGCGGCGGCGGCGGCGGTGACGGCGGCAGCGGCGGCCGTGGCGGCGGCGGCGGCACCGGTGCAGGTGGCAGGCGCCGAGGGGCCCGTGGTGAGCGCCGGCTGGCTGCTGGGGGAGGCTGGGGAGGCGGGGTGTGGTGGGGGCTTGTGTGCTGCCTGCAGGTGCTGCCGACAGCCTGAGGATCCGCCGCAGCCGACGCCGCAGCCACGCAGCCAAGCACGCCCTCTGAGCTGAGATAAGAGCACGTCTGCCTGACCCGCTTTCTGTCACGCTTGTGCGTGCGCGCAGGCCGTGCCAGCCGACTGGCCCTTCCCAGAGATGAACGAGACCGATTACGACAACTACCAGGGTGGTGAGCTCACACGGCAGCACGCACGGCGCGCGCAGCGCGCACAGCACGCACGCCATCATGCAATGATTGCTCAGGGTTGGCCCCCGCATTTCGGCAGCTGCCAGGCGCACTTGGCGAGTGCCAGGCCGCCGGCAGCTGCTGCTGGCTCCGCGCGGTGGGCAGGCTCAGCCCCTGTTTCGCCTCAGCGCTGCAACCGTGATCATCCCCACCCACCCACCCGGCCCCGCTGCAGCGCGCACCTGGAGGGCCCAGAGGGTGTGCCTCACCTGCGCCGACCTGGGCTGCCCCGGCGCCTGCACCAACATCACCGGCTGCACCTCCTGCCCCAGCGGTGAGCCCTGGGAGCGCTCATGTAGTGATCACTGCCAGCCGCCTGCGTGTCCAGCAGCCCTCATGCCTGCACGACGCCAGCACGCCTGCCAGTGCGTGCCTCGCGACTTTTCAAAACTCAGGTCCCCGGCTGCCGCCGCCGCGGGGCGCCTGCCGCCACTCGCCGCTGCCGGGCCTCCCGTACCTCTCCCCTCACTCCGCCTCTGCCTCCACCTGCAGGCTCCCTGCTCTTCCTCGGCGCCCCCGTGGGCTCTGCCGACACCTTCCTGGGAGAGTACCGCTGGGGGTGGCTGTACGGCTTCCCCGCCCGCAAGGCGCCCAAGCTGCCAGCCATGTGCCTGGACCCAGTCAAGGTGCGGCAGCCTGGGGGGCGGCACGGCACGGCACAGCCGCCGCCGGCCTGCCGCCGTCCGCGTGGCGTGGAGGGGTGTGCTGGGGTTGGCCTGCAGCCTCAGCCTCTGATGCAATCCGGGTTGGCGAGGTGCTGAGTCCTGCCGGCCTGCCCTGCCGCGCGGCTATGCAGAACCTGCGCTGCGCGCCTGGCAAGTGGAACGCCGCGGGCTGCACCGCCTGCCCGGCCGGCATGCTGCGAGGGGGCTGGGCGGGCAAGATGGTGGGAGGCAGCACCTGGGCGCTGGTGCGGACCCAAGCCTCGGCCTGCCACCAGCCGTACCAACCTGCCCCACCCCCCTCTCCAGCAGCCGTGCCGGTTGGGACGAGGGGGCGGGTGAGGCGGTCGGCCCGCCACTTGCTGGCCATCTAGCCCTGACTCGGACCCGCCAGCAGGCCCGGTTCATCCCAGGTGTGGCAGTGTGCTTCACTTGCCACATGGTGCCTCTCTCCCTCTCTCTCGCACGTGCGCTTCGCTTGTCATGAGCGCGCTGCCGATTGGCGCCATGGCCAGTCATGCTAGAGCTTCCATTCTGCAGCCGCAGCAATAAAGGGCCACATCTGCTGTGCCTGCCCCCCCTTGCTTCTACTCTACCAGTAGTACTTCTCTTCTCCTCCCTGCTACATAGTGCATTAACACTGTCGCCCGTCACTGCCGTTGTCACAGTCATCTGTTGTGTATGCCTCAGCGCCGTCCCTTTGTATGTCTATGCCCGCTCTCCTCCTACACAGCTGTGCCTACTCTTCTCTCAACTCAACACATCCCGTCACCTGCCCTTCCATACCGTTCCGCTACTGTGTCCTTTGCCACACACTTTCTCTCTGCGGCCTTACCTTTCAACCTTTCTATCTCACAAGCTGATCAGCAGCAGACACTACGGCCCTTCACCATGCCTTGCCACTCATCCCCACCCCACCCATTCACCCCTCGAGTCTGCACCCGTGCCAGGCCCTCAGGGCCCTCAGGGCCCTCAAGAGGCTCTTGAACCAATCGGCCGTCCTACCTACTACTGCACTGCAATACCAATGTGTTAGCACCTCACCCCCTTTGCTATACTCCACTCTTGCTGCACCCGTGCACCGGCTACCATGCCCCACCGGCAGTACCGCAACTGCAGGCTGGTACCTTTTCTTTGCACCCCGCGGCCATCTTTGGCGACTGGACGTATTGGGCGTTGCTTGCACGGGCAGCCAGCAGCACATATGTCATGCTGCTAGCCTTGATATAAACATTGAAAGCAACATTGAAAGCTGTCCCGTCGGCTTCCGCACCCACGTGCTGCTGGCCTAGCTGCGCTGCGCTGGTTGGCAGCCAGGGCAGAAGTACCGAGCTGACACGCCGCGGCGCGGCCGAACTCATCCGCTGGAGCCCGAAGGGGCCGGCGGCGGCGTGCTCTGCAGCGTGCTGAGCCGCTTGGCCACATACTGGAGCTGCTTGAACACGTTGGGCCTGCAGGCGAGCAGGGGGATGCCCCGAGGGCGAAACAGTCGCCACAGCCTGAGGGTGCCAGCGGCAGGCGGAGCTCGCAGCCCCCAGGCAGCCAAGCGTGCTGCAGGAGGGCGCAGCCCTGCTGCCGCCTGCTGCACTGCAGGGCGAGCCGCGACGGCGCCGGTGCCTGCTTACCTGTGCTGCTTTCCTTCCGTGAACTCTGGGCTGATGTTGATGTACTGAGTGCCAAGCCCAAACCCTTTCCCCCAGCCTATTCCGCCCACGACGCCACACATGCCGCCCATGCTGAGGCCGGCCACACCGAGGGGCGTGCCGCCAAAGCCCCAGCCTGCGGCAAGGGAGGAGCGCACGGGGTGGGCTGCGCGAGCAGGGTGCGGCAGCCGGGGCTAGCCCCCATCAATCGGGTTGCCAGCCGGCTGTCGGCGTCTGCGGTTGCAGGGCGCTCACCTACGCCGAAGCCGCATCCTAACCACACCCCAAGCCCTGCGCCATTGCCGGAAAACTTGCGCACCCCCATGCCGCCGCCAAGCGCCTGCAGAAGCCACGGTGCACTGCTCATGTTACGGCGGGGGCCTTCGATGACTGTAGGATCCTGGCATAAGCACTCAGCGGGTGCGGCTCCATGCCTGTCGTGCAACATGGGTGAACAGACACTGGCTCGGGGCCTGCCCCGCCGCCGTGCAGGGCGGCGCCGCTCACCTTGCCGTGCCCTGCCTGCCCACTCTCCCGCAAGCCCTGCTGCCGCGGCGGCTGCTCTCCCGGATGCTGTAGAGCCTAGGTTTGGTGCAAGGCGGCCGCCAGAGCTGGCGTTTGAGTGGGACGAGCGACAAAGTGGCGAGGGAGGACCACCGGAACGTCTCTCTGCTGCCCTCACACCTGCGATATGGCGATGCACGCATCGGGGGCCCGTCGATGCGTTGAAACACACTCCCAGGCAACCCGTGCTGTGTGCTGCGCTGCCTCGCTGGCCTGCGCCTCTACACCCTACCAAAGAGCCAGTCCAGTAGGTTGGCTCAGGTTGCTTGTACATGACTGCGCCGTTTGTGGCCGAGCGCTAGAGTCATGGCGTCCAGGGCGTCGCCACTGAGCAGCATTTGGAGTGGCGCACTGGGCTTCAGGGGCAGGAGGGTGAGACAGAATGCATGGCACGGCACTAGGAAGCGGCGGAGGCCCGCCAGGAGGATTGCGGAGCCACCTCCACTTACACCAGTAGGCGCCAGTGGCGTCGAGCTTACGCCTGCCCGGCGGCTTGCCCTCCTGTGCCTTATGCAGAGCTTTGTGGCCTGGATGGTGGCGGGAGGGCTAGCTTACTATCTATACGTCGTTCCAGACAAGCAGCGAGCGGAGGAGCAGCAGGTGTGTGGGTGGTGGATGCTGGGTTTGATGAGCGCATCCGTGTGTATGCTTGGCCTGCCTGCATTCCTTTTGTTTCTGCAGCACTGACCCCATGCCACCCATACCACCCTGATGTGCAAACACCTGCTGCAGCGGGTGAGGGAGCAGGCCAAGCGGTGGGCGGAAGAAGCGGCGGCAGCGGCAGCGGCGGACAAGCAGTGACTAGCTAGCTTTGGCTTTGCTCATGGTGAATGCTGCTTGAAGCTCACGACACTCTGTCCCAGTTACGTGTGGCATGAGCAGTGCGATAAAATGAATGCAGATGGCTTTAATCACTTAACGTACAATCCCCGCCTGGCGCAATTTCCCTGCGCTATCTGCCGCTCAGAGCCTGCCTGCCAGCTTGATTGCGGTGCCCGCAAGCAGCTTGACGGCGGCGGCGGCGGCCTCTGGCGGCGACAGCTCCTGCAGGCGCTGCAGGTCGAGGACGTCGGGCACCCGCGGCGCCCCCTCCACCTCCCGCGCCTCATCCCGCAGCGCGATCACCGCCTGCCGCACCTGCAGCGGGCAGGCGGGACGTGGGGATGCAGGAGGGTTGGTTGGTTGCGTAGGGGAGCACACCCAGCTCAGATTTGCATGCTGCGATATTGCAACATGCTGCCACATTCAATCAATATCCAGAGGAGGTGGCACCGGCGCGCCCCGCCCGCCAACCTGCGGCGCCGCCTCAGCCAGGCCCTCCTCCCGCAGCTCCCGCAGCTGCTCGTTGCACACGTCTGTCAGCGCGTCGTGCAGCCCCGCGGTCACTGCTGCCGACAGCTGGCGCGGCGCCAGCGCCGCGGCGGCCCCGAGCGCCCAGAACCCCGCCCGCAGCGCCGGCGCCAGCAGCGACGGCCGCGCGCGGTGCTGCGGCGCCAGCGAGCGCAGCTCCGCGGTGTGCTGCTCCTCGCGCTGCTGGAAGGCTGCCAGGTCGGGGCGCCGCCCCAGCACCGCCTGCTGCGCGCGGTAGAGCGAGGCGGTCGCCTCCTGCGCTCGGCAGCGGAAGAGGACTGGTGGCGAAGTGAGGAGAGATGCATGGTCGCGCGCAGGCTGCATGCGTCTGGGGCTGTGCAGAAAGCAAGCAGAACCTCTGACCTAGGCGCACCTGCGCAGCCAAGTCGGTCCGCAAGATGCGCTGCAGCACGGGGTTGGCCCGCGGCGGCGGCGCGGCGGCGGCGGCGGCAGTGCCGCCACTGCTGCCAGGTTCCTGCGCTGTGCTGCTGCTGCTGCTGTTGCTGCTGCCTTGCAGGGGCTGCTGGTCCGCCTGGCTGGCTGTGCACCGCCGCAGCGCCAGCAGCAATGCCGCACAGGGCTCTCTGCCCAGCGGCAGCAGCAGGGCAGAGCGATGAGCAGCCAGCATTGAATATAATGGAAATTGAGCTAAAATAATGAGGCAGCAAAGCTGAGCGAAGAGAGTGCCGCGTGCGCTGCCTGTCCTGCTGCCTGGCGACCAAGCTGCGCACCTGAAGCGATCCAATTCACGTCCCATCACGCCCTCCCGAGACTCCGCAACGCTGCCGGCAGCTCTTGCCCGCTCCAGACGCTCAGTGCCGCCCAGTCAACTTTCAGACTGCCGGAATGGAGCCTCACTTCTGTGCACACCCAGAGCAGGAATCCGACACCACAGCGCCGATGCCACAGCAGCTCACGCTGCACGGCGGCGGCGGCGGCGAGGCGCCGCTGCGCTGGGTGGCCGACCCGGCGCGCCAGCCGCAGCAGCTGGACGCCTGGATCGAGGCTGTGGAGGCGCTGCACCAGGTGCGCGCTGCTGTGGGTCCCGCAGCCACCCTGTGCATTGACGTCCGTTCTGTGTGCTCCAGTTCTGGCTGCTGGGTCCCGACCTTCGCCTCCTGCCACCGCTGCAGGCTGACGCGTCTGCCGAAGCGCTGGCGCCGCCGCCGCCAGACCTGGAGGCGCTCATGCAGGAGTGGTCCCCCCAGATGCAGGCCCACATCCACAGCAGCCCGCTGCCAGACCCGCGCCAGGTGGGTGCAGCGGGACCGCGGGAGCAGCCGCTGGGCGGCGGCGGCACGCACCTCGCCCATGCGCCGCTGAAGCCACCGGCCCCGGCCCGGCCCGCGCGCGGGTGGCTGGGTGGAGCCCTGGGGTTTACCCGTACCGCATCCGTATCGCACCCATGGTACCGCAGGACGTGGACCTGGCCACCTACGCCCGCATGTGCTGCAGCGTGCTGGACCTGGCGCCGCCCGCCGGCGCCGGCCTGCCCGGCCTCGTGCACTGCCTGCACGCCATGTTTGCCCTCTACCTAGAGTTCCGGTGGAACCCCGCCTTCCAGCACCGCGACGTGTTTGGCGCGGCGGGGCCCGCGGGCGCGGCGGGCGAGCTGGCGTGAGGCGCGTGGCGCGGCCCGGCTGCCTGCCTGAGCTGGCGCCCCGCGTGTGCCTGTTGGGCCGTGCACCTCCCGCAGCCGGCCCAGCAGCCTGCGCTGTCGTGGCTTCCTGTGCTCCTGGTGCCTGCCTGCCTGCCTGCCTGGCCTGCCTGCCTGCCTGCCTGTGCCTGCCTGCCTGACCTGCCTGGCCTGCCCGCTCTGCCGCCTGTTGCACAAGCCTTGAAAATGATCGGCCATCGCAGTGCAGCAAATCGACTGATCAACACGCTCCCGAAAGGGCTCTCACTCACTGACTCTGTGCTGGCAGCCGCGGCGCGGCGCCGCTGCCCATGCTGCCGAGAAAGGCTGCCAAGTGCGGCGCTGCATTAGGCCTCGACTCCCACCGCTGCTAGCTCCGCCTCGCCGCCCCGCCGCCGCTGCGTGATGGCCTGAGGCAGGTGCGTGCCCGCCACCTCCCCACCCTCGGCCCCCTCCTCACCCGCGGCCGCCGCACCGGCCTCCGGCCGCGCCAGCAGACTGGCAGTGCTGTCTCCCAGGCGGGAGGAGCCTGCAGGGCGGCGCGGAGCGGCACGCTCAGCGGCCGGCGCCTCACGCGCCGCCCTACAGCCGTACCGGCTACGCCTGCCACACAGGCATGCACACACACCTCCACCACCGTCTATATTCCCACACTCCTTGTTCGCACGCTCCACCCACCCCACCACCACCGCAGGCCTCCCGAGCCTTCCTCACCCGCCGTGGGGTCGTACGCAGCAAAGGGCACAAAGGGCAGCGTGCGGCGCAGGCTGCGCGCGTCGCAGGAGTCCACCAGCCCCAGGTTGGCCTTGCGCCCCAGCGCCAGCCGCGCGTTGTCTGCGGGGGGCGGCAGGGACGGGCGGCGGGGGCGTGGGCCGGGGCGTGGGCAGGGAGGTTGGTGGCGAGATGTGCAGCCACGCACCCCGCACACAATCGCCCGCCATTTCACGCAGCACAGCACAGCACCGCCACACCACCGCCATGCCACACCACCACCGCCACTAATCCTCCACCACCCCACCACCACAACCACCACCACCACCGCCACACCTCCACCTCCATCACACACACACACCCGTTATGATGTCCTTGCGCGTCACCATGCCCGACACCAGCGGGTGCGGCGGCCCCACAAACATGTGGCGCAGGCCCATGGTGCGGAACAGCCTGCGGCGGGCGGCGGCGGTGAGCGGTGAGGGGTGATTGTGGTGGTGGTGTGTGTGTGTGTGTGTTGTGTGTGTGGTGCTGCCTCGCCCCGCCCGTGCCGCGCCGCTGGGCGCCCTCCCAGCCAGACCCCGCCCCGCCGACCCACGCAGGCGGCCGGCGCCACCTGCAGCCCCTGCCCAGGCTGGCATCCCACCTGCAGCCCCTGCCCGGCCCCCCTGGCTGGCACCCCACCTGCAGCCACTGCCCAGCCCACCCCACCTGTAGCCCCTGCCCAGGCTGGCATCCTCGTTGACGACAAAGGGCGCGCGCTGCATGAAGGGGCGCAGGTCCAGGAGCGAGTCGCACTCTGCCAGGGTCAGCCCCGCCACCACCGCCTCTTGGTCCTCGCGCACGCGGATCTGGGGGCAGGGGGTGGGAGGGGGTGGGTGGTTGTGGGTGGATGGAGAGGGAGGAGGGTGGAGTGGTGGGGGTTAGAGAGGAGGGTGGAGTGGTGGTGGGGGGGTGGC